TTAAAAATCTAGGTACGGAACCCAAAAAAATTTACCCAAAATGTGTACACATTATCAAATATCTGCTAAATTGATGTACATATGTCCAATAAACATTTTTGACCGTCAAATTTTTTAACTTATTCTTATTGAGAGTCCATAACCGCAGGACCTGCCTTCACAAAAATTTAATCAGTTCATCTTGTCAATACAAGTAAAATGTTTTTTGAATTATTAAAATCGGACGCTCCGTTCTCCTAAAAAATGAGTAACCGTTTATGGCACTTTTTTCCACGTATCTTCGAAACGGCTAGACCTGCCTATGCCAAAAACTAATCAGCCTTGTCCTTATCAACAGCAATCGAATATTTTTTGAATAATTGAAATCGGTTGAACCGTGTTCCCGAAATCGTCGACGAAAATTTGTATCCGCACGCACCCACACATACACACATACACACAAAAATGTTCAGAAACCTCTAAAACGTAAAGATATATACAAATTCTCATTTTCGATTTTTTTGCGATTACTATAACTTACCCCACGGGAAGTTAATAAAGAAATATTATGAAGAAATTGAAGTCGAAAAAGATTAAAGAGATATTTAAAGATATTTTAAATATAAGGCTTATTAATATATAATAAAATAGACATAAATGATATGTGTATATAAAATATGAAAAATATTTCATAATCTCTTATACCAGGCACCCCTGTCTGAATGAGATATGAAAATAATATATCAATAAAGAAGAAAAAAATGATTAGTTATAAAAAAATATTTATATGATATGCTTGTCTTACATCGCATACACTTTTTAATTTCAGTGTCAAACGATTTAGAATGGCTTGAAACGTCGGGACAACAAGCAAAGCAAATTGGAATTTCTGGCTAACTGATTGATTAGTAATTATGTCCTTTAGGAAATTAATTTGGCGTTCATTATTAATCTGTAAAAGATACATTTTTATGATGCCTTAGTAAATACTTATAAGCATTGATAAGAATTAATCTACTTACAGACTTTAAATCTAAAATTATGTCACATGTCAAAACAAATCATTCACCTGTTTCTACTAAATAACTAGTTAGTTAATTTTAAATTGAAACAAAAATCAAAGCGTAATGCTTTCTATAGTTTACAATTATAAATAAACATTTTAATTTGCGGTATTTGAATATACAATCGTAAATTTACATAAAAATTTACAAAGCAATTCGTAAGTAAACACGATAATTAGACAAAACTAGTAAAATATCGGCGGCGGCCAGTGTCAATAATAGTACTTCCGATCGTGAACTTGACAATCTCCGGTATTTATATTTGAGGACTAATTAAACCAATTGACAATGGCAGAATCTAGGTATGTAGTATTCTCATATTAAAAATTATTTGTATAATGTAACGGATCATCAATGAGTAGTATAAGTACAAATAGAATAATCGTGCTTTTTGCGCAAGGAAAGGATCATTTGAGATATTTGAAATTTAATCAAAGTTATTGATATTATTAAAATGCAGAACAAGTTAGTATGATAAGTTTTTACTTTAATTTGTGATTATGAAATTCATTCATGTTACTCCAAAAATAAATAATACGTATTATGATTTGAAAAAATATTCAAAATAAAATTAAATCCAATATCGTACGATGCGTGATACTAAACACTGCGTTTTTTATAATTTTATTTGAACAGCGATCAGAACTTATGGGTTCAACCAGCTGTTGTGATTAATATCTAACTACGTTTGTTTTATTACAGATGGCAACCCAAACAGTTGTCACATCTCTGTATGATAAATTTTTATTACAATCTCTGTAATAGGACAAGTGGAAACATATTGCTATCTATATTTCCAAGTAAAAATCGTTGTCACTGCTGCCTGACAATAGGCTGCTCGAAGTGGGTATCAAACCAGGGCCCTCTGAAACAAGTCCCGTCGCTCTTAACCGCTTACCTACGGGCGAGCCCAAACACTGCATAATACTAAATTTGTTCCCACAGATGTTATGATCGTTTTTAAGTAATTCGAGGACGTTGATCCCAAAAAAGTAACAGAAAATTGCCAACAGATCTAGTTTACGAGATATACCAATGTTCTGATTATTGTTAGGTAACATTGGTATATCTCTTAAATTTACGACTGATTTCGTCGTAAGTCCCACCTACCTTTATATCGGTCTACCATAGTCCCCATGTCTTGGTGGATTCTTCCGCCCTGCCTTTCTCTGACATATCTCCAAGATTTTCCAAAAACCATTCCAACTGGGAGTGCGGGTTATGAATTTTAATGTTCATGTTGCATCCTAGATTTTTTAAATTGGATAGCATGCGTTTAAATTTAAGTTTCGTTATCGAGAAACTCAATAAAGTTACTGAATTTTTTGTTTCCTAGAAAATTTATTACGACCAAAACGAATTACTTCCTGGTTTTCTTCTGAACTGATATACTCGTAGAATTCACAAATCGTGGATTTTTTATGAGTTGCCTAATTTAGGGATCATGGAATATATCACTTTTTAACTCATCCTGTCTTCTCTTTCAACGCTAAAATCTCATCCATTATATGGTAGGCAGTAGATGTTGATGTTCTAGTCTAGACTGTTCATCATTAGCATAAAAAGGAGTAGTATAGCTGATGAAAAGTAGGCTCCAAGACCAATGGAGCCGTGGAGTATTACAATTTGCTTCTATTGTCTATTCCATTGATATTTACCACAGAGAAGGCAAAGTCGTCTTCGTGATTCTGAAGTTTATTACATATGACGGCGGAATTAAAATTATGTTTTTTTCTATTGAACATTGTTGTAAACACACTACGAAATTTTGGCACATAGTATGAAGAACCCATGATTTATCTTAATTGCGTAATTCTATTTTAAAATGATTGAAATACGCTGTTTTTACGCAGTTCGATATAAGTTTTCGGTATTTCTCGAAAACATATTTAATGCAGATGTATCAAAAACTGTTAGGATTGCACATATAATGTCTTGGAGTCGATGCCATACCGAATTGTTGTTGTTAAACTGCGATCATCATAGCTAAAATGGCTAATGGCTGCAGTTTCCTGAAACTCAAAAACCAGAGCTGTTACAAAAAAAAACGGAATGTATATTTGAAATCAACGTACAATTCTAAGTAGATTTTAAAAAAAAAGTTTGTGAAAAAAAAGCAAAAGTACCAATTTTGTCATGTAGTGTTATCCTTATATTCAATTACCGCATTTTATTTTTCTTTCGTTAATTTCAAGTTTACCTGCGATAAAACTATAGGTGATTAACAAATGACTTTTGAAGAAGTGAAATAAGTTTCGTTATAAAGCATTATATATTTTTATAATTTTATTTCAAAATATTTTTCATAATACCCCGAAAATGGTAAAAGATACGTATAAAATGCAGGTCTCTTTCAGACATTTTTTGTTAACGTTATATTTTGAGACGTATCTTGCACAGTTTTCGAAATATAATGAATATAAGATAGTTTTTTGTAAAAAGTCGAATATATTTCCTAAAATCATCATTTGAAAAAAGTATGTGTCCTAAAGCAAACCCTGGGCATATATATTTTTAGACAGACTTAGTAAAATTTTATGATGTAAATTTTGAATTATAAATAACAATTGTACTATTAATAACTACCCTTAACACAATAATTAAAAACACTAAATTTTTTTCAGAAAAAAAAAACACTCAGAGACTTATTTCGTTATACAACGTATCCCAGAATTCAACTTCAATTCTTTTGATAGCATTGATCGTAACTATAGAAGAAATAGATTTTTGATTTTTTTTACTCGAATATTTTATTATAAAACTATCAAGTATTTTACAATCCTTATTAAATGCGTGAACTTTTAATGGAACTCTACCACCACACTTTAGTACAATTTTTTTGAAAGAGGGCATTTAATGATAAAGAAATTTTAAAGTCAAGTTTGACAAAAAGTTTGGAAAGTGGCAATTATATCACAATTTTTGACTATGGTCCTAGAAATGTTATTCACGGTTATCGTTCCAAAATTTAAATGAACAAAAATAAATAAAATTAACCACAATAAACAAAAATGATCACACTTTGACCGAAGCTCTGAGTTGCACTTTAAACATCTCAATTTTCAAATCACGTGAGAAATTCGAATTCTAATTTTTTTCATGATAGTTACGCTAAAATGCTATCACTCCGTTTTGACTTGACGTTGAATTCTGGAACACCCTGTATAAATAACATAGATATTCTTTTAACAATAGAAAAATATTTTCTCTTTCTTAAATGTTCCTGATTTTGAATAAAATTAAATCAAAAAAATAAAAAAAAAATTGTACAAATCGGAGCTATTCCTGAAAACTTTCTAAGTGTGCCTGTTTAATCCTTTCATTGACTCGACTATTCATTGCATTTTCAATTCAATTGTGCAATTAATTTAAAGACAAAATTAAAAAAAACCTTTCCATCAATCATTTTAACCGCAATCGAACTCATTAAAATACGTTTAGCTCTAGCTCTTCGTTTAACATATTAAAAAAATTTATGCAAGTAGTTTTATAATGCAAACTAATATTTATGCAAAATCGTGCATGATTTGAAGCAATAGCAGAAGTAATCGGATATTTGACTGATTGTGGTATTGGCCTTGCCGCGTAAAATATTGCATTTATATATGTGGTGCTCTCGTAGGTAATCACTTTGTTGCATTTTTATATCTTACATATAGATATATGGATTTATAATTTTATAGATTTATATACATATATATAAACATAAATAGAAATTAGACGATTGCGCATGCTCACACACGCACCTCTTGTGAATATAAATAACAGTCTTGATAACGTTCAATTTGATTTGAACAAATAGTACTTGATGTATATCTGCGTTCTTGTAATATTATTAAATTAATAATAAACACTAATTATAATCAAATAATTTCTTAATACTGTGCTACTTTAATACATTATATAAAAAATTAAAAAAAAATATTTGTCAAGTGCAAAAATTTAGGTTGTTACAAAATGACGCTGGACATTTTCCTAGATTCAAAAGAAAGGTAAACAGATGAGATAAAATTTAATTTTACACTGTTCACCGCATATTATTAAAAAAACGTGACAATGTTTTAATTAATTTAATATACATATTATAATTAGAATTAGTATATTATAATACGATACTTTCAAGTTACTTTTATATCCAAATTTCAAAGAAAAATGACGCCAAGCTTATTAAATGTACCAGCTATTCTTAGTTAAGCAAATCGTGAATAGAATCATGTCTAGCTCATCGGGCACATATTTCAACTAAAAATACACTCCGAACTACAATTTATAGAAATATTCGAATAATATTTGATATTAGACATTATATATACTTAATATATGTAATGAGTCAAAAAAAAAAACGAGGTAGTGTCAAAGGACTTTCACAATTAGGCATTAAGTTCACAGACCTTATACTACAGTTGTAGTTATAAGATCCGTGATTACAAATTGTCTTATAAATCAATAATTAACTATAAAAGTACATTAAGATCAATACCAAACCAATTAATATTTAAATTTTCAGAACCTGCAAAAAATATGATAATTAGGATGAAATAGTTCAATAAGTGTTTACACAAAATTAATCCTGCGATTTCCATTTGATTATTTAGAGTTTCTAAAATTAGTTTACACCATTCGAAATGAGCTAAAAACTGACTGTTTTATATTCTAATTGGAAGAAAACTATAATAGAAGTTAATTAATGTGAAATTCGACTAATTGATTAGATTTTTAACTTATTGTTATAGAAACTGCAAAGAAATCGCTTGACCGACCATTCCACTATTAAAATAATATATTTTCATTTAACTTAAATTTTTTGAAAGATTTTTAAAATATATCTAAAAGATTTTGAGAAAAACGTTAGAGGATAGGATTGATAAATGTGCCATCTATTCCTTCTATTTATCAATAAATTCAAATTTTTTAAGAGTCATAAAGGATTGGTTAGATCAATATTTATCCTTACAATATATTAACATAATATTGTTAATCGTCTTTTATTTTCATTTTAAATAATTGGTTCAGTGTAAACTGAATCAATAATTTATTTGAATAAAAATTAACTTTTTGAATATGTACATATCTACTATAAGTTTTGGTTCAGAAACTGGACCAAAAACGGATGTGTATTATTCGATATAGTAACAATATTCTTCAAAGTGCATGGATCAGCTAAAACAGGCGTCTTAGTTTTGGAAATAGTGCATTGGAATTAAAAATATTGTTAGCTCCTAAGCTTTTTGCTTTTATTCTCATTGATATTATGTTATATTTATATAAGTACATATAAATATAAATATCCATATAAGGGTGGTTCCTAATATGGGTATTTTTGATTTTTTGTTTCCAGAAGCTTAAATGCTTTCAAATTGATAAAAAAAAAATTCTCAAAGTTTTATCTCTCATTATTAACTTTAAGATAGTCCGCACTCCAACCAAAGTTACTTGAATTTTCTTCCTAAGTAAATACTTAGGAAGAAAATTACTTATTCATAAAATATGTCAAATTTTTGTTGTAAATTTTTTATTTATGAAAAAAAAATAAGCAATTACAATGTTATTTTCAAAATTTTGTTTCACTTGTCGCTAAGTTGTAAAATTCTAAAAAAAACAAATAGAATTTCACTCATGTTATTTTCATAAGAAACATTAGTTGGAGTTCGGACTGTCTTAAAGTTAATATTAAAGACCTAAAACTTAAATATTATTTTTATTATTTTGAAAGTATTTGAGCCCCTGTGAGCAAAAAAATCGGAAATATCAATATAACAATACACTATATGCATGTAATAACGTTAAACTTCAGTATAAAATTTCAAAGTCGTCCATGTTAATTGTTCATAACATGTAATCTCTGAACAATTACGGTTTTTCAATTACGTTATTTGCACTTAGTGTTAAATTTCAAAATAAAAAAAAAAAAATAATAATAAAATAATTAAGTTTTGTGTTGAAAATTAATTTTTATTTTATTTGTTAAAAAATCATCGGGATTGTAAAAATTAATCTTAAGCAATAAATGCTCAACTTTTTCAGCAAATGTAAATGCACTGAGGACAAATTGGGACGAAGACATTGCATTCCCATTATCTACACCAGAGGATCACATTATGACGTGGGATTTGACATTGTAAGAAATAAATATTTTTATTTAAAAAAAATATCTACTAATTTATGACAATTTCGAATTTAAACATAGAATTTTGAAAGACCTCATATCATAAAATGTCGCTAAAATTAAGTCAGATTTGCTTCTACGTTAGGGCTTTACCATCTTGATTAGGAATCAAACATTTAGATTGAAATAATAAAAGAAAACTATGTTCCATATAAAATTAACTATATCTAAAGAAAATAAAATTAAAACTAGTGAGGTGCATGACATCGTGCCTTAAGGCACATTGCTAAAACTTCCCGTACCGTAATAGAAAATCTTGGTACGGAACCCAAAAAAATTTACACAAAATGTGTACACATTATTAAAATCTCTATAAAATATCTGATAATTTAATGTACATATGTCCAATAAACATTTTTAACCGCCAATTGGCGGTTGTCATTTGTCATTGTCATTTAAATGACATTTTTTTAACTTATTTTTATTGAGAGTCCATAACCGCTGGACCTGCCTCTCCAAAAATTTAATCAGTTCTTCATCTTGTCAATACAAGTGAAATGTTTTGAATTATTAAAATCGGACACTCCGTTCTCTTAAAAACTGCTTTACCGTTTTTGGCATTTTTTGCCCCGTATCTTCGGAACGGCTAGACCTGCCTTCGCCAAAAACTAATCAGCACGTCTCCTTATCAATACGAATCGAATGTTTTTTGAATTATTCAAATCGGTTGATCGGTGTTCCCGAAATCGTCGACAAAAATTTGCATCCGCACACACACACACAAATATGCACATACACACACATACATCAATTTTTCTAAGTATGCCAAAATATTCAAAAACTTTTGAAACGTATAGATATATGAAAATTTTCATTTTCGATTTTTTTGCGATTACTATTACTTACCCTAAGGGAAGTAATATTAAAATAAGGATATTAAAAAGAAATCTCAAAATTTTAAAAACAAGCTAGAAGCTAAAGTAAGCAAGACAACCAGCTAGGTGTAAGTGTCATTTCGCCTCGAGACAAACTGATGTATGATCTTTCCCATATGTATAAATACCCCCCATACGTATAAATATCCCCCATATGTTTATAACTTATCATAACATTCATAACAATAACTTTTCAAATTGTTCTGATAAAATTACGGCACACTATGTTGAATTGAAATAATTAAACATAGCATATAATATTGTAAACGAACGAAAAACGAACGATTTTTAAATTTTCAAAATTGATTCAGGATTTTTCAAAAAAACAATCTAAAATCAACGCGGGTTCGCATCGAGTTTAATGGCTTTTAATTGTTTAAAATCGTTGAAGACCTTTGCAAACAAAAAATCGACAAATTTTGGCTCGGATACATACACACATACTACTTCCAATTTTAATCTCAAACGATTCAAAATGATTTCAAACATCGAAAAAATATAAATTTTGCAAATCGAATATTCTAGCGAAAACAAACTTCTTCGTGAAGTTAAATTTAAAGTGATCAAGCCACTAGTGAACCCATGTCATATGTGGGACATTCTGAGAAATATATATATATATATAATAGATTTTCTAAACTTACAATGCGTATTTATACATAGTTACATCTCAAGGATTAGATAAATAAACAATATTATCAACCAATTTGTTCACTTTGGGATTAATTTTAATTGGTCATGAACAAACATTTATTTTGCCATAAACGAATTAATTTAATGCTGTTGATGGTTACAATAATATATTTACTACTAACATACAGAGATTACAATAATGTATTTACTACTAACAAACAGATGTGATTCGTTTGAAAAATCCTTAAATCGGCGCTTGACTGTATTCTCATATATCTTTTCCAGAAAACAAACGAAAGTAAATTTGCATAAATGCAAATAATAGGAGTATTTTCCAGCATTGTTCATAGCCTTGTTCGTACTTTACAGTCAATTAGATAATCGTGCAAATACAATTACGATCAGTTCGAATCACGATATAGAAAAATTATAATAACGGAACGCGTCCGGTCTTATATCATATATCGCGGAATTATAATTTTTATAATTAAATATATATGATTATTATGTCAAGATTAAAGGTTAAGCATATGCACAACATTGAATTTAAAAGATTTATGTAGTATTAAGATTAATATCATAATTGCCTACATACAGATAATCTATATAATCTCAACTCGTCCTAATGAAATCATGCAGCTAAACTAAATTAATAATTAATTTCACGTAACAAAAATACACGTGATTTTTGGTGGGTGAGGGATGAGGGTCTGAAAATTCCCAAAAAAATGATCACGTGATTAATGGATGCCTCCTAAAGTAAAAATAAAGAACTCAAGAAATATTTTGGAAATGACTAAATGCTAACACCATGGCCGGTATTTTGAATATGGTAGTGTAAAATATGATATCTAGCCATATTCTATTAGCCATAGGTATTTTGAATATGGTAGTGCAAAATGTGATATCTAGCCATATTCTATTAGCCACAGCTATATTCTATTAGCCATAATGGCTATTGAAGCTATATCTCTATTTCTAATGAAATTCTCTATAAATGTCGTTTTCAGAATCTGAAATACTTTATCTTATTTTGTTAAATTATGTTGATTGAATTGCATTTCAATAGTTTTTTTTTTAATTTTTACAGAAAAAAGCTAAATTAGAATACATTGGCATATTGAATTCTCTTCAAATTTTATTTTGAAAAACATTCTTCATGATAATCTATTGTATGAACCGAGGGCACTAATAGTTTCTGGCACTAACATTTATTTTTTTACAACTACTAACTACCAAACCAAAGTAAACCCCTTAAATTATTTTCAGATTGTAGAGGGCCTTAGGAAAACTGTCATCCGATCCGATCTATAGACACTGAATTGTCTGTCGTTTAAAAAATATTTCAAATTATTCTATATAAATTTTGAAATACTTTGGTAATTCAAAAATTGCACATAATTGAAAAACATAAACACGTGTCTAAAACATACATGATTTTCTAAAGCGCGTTTGATTAATTCAAACATCAATTAATTTTTATACTAATCTATCTTCCGTAGGCACTCAATATTTTTATTCATTAAGACCAGAAACTCTATCGCCATACAAAGTTGAATTAAAATCGCCAAAACAAAATTTTCAGAACAATCTAAGAAACGCCGATCTTTACCAAAAACTTATCGCACGATTCCCAAATGGTATCGTTAGAATAGTTTTTTAATTGATTTAACAAGCACATACTTATTACCAAATTTGGTCTCATTCGATTCAGAATGACTTGAAACATCGCGAAACAAAAAAATGAGCATATAGGTTTTTCTGGCGAAAACAAACTTCTGCTGCGGGTAGTTAATAATTATTTAATTAAATTTGAAGCATTTATGTTCGGGTTCATAATTTGTTTAATAGCAAAAAATAATAGTAAAACTATAACTAAAAACGTAAAATTTTTGTTTTTTCTGAAAATTTAGGTAAAAAATAAATACACGTGATATCTTACTAGACTCCTCACTCCCCCATGTGATTTTTCGTGATTTTTTGTCAAATAGGAAACATATTGCTATCTATATTTCCAAGTGAAAATCGTTGTCAATGTTGCCTGACAACAGGCTGCTCGAAGTGGGTATCGAACTCGGGACCTCTGAAACAAGTCCCGTCGCTCTTAACCGCTTACCTACGGGCGAGCTCGCGAAATAATATAAAAATAAATTTATTAAACAAATCATGAAAGCTTTCATGATATCAGGTTGAGAACATACATTATTACTTACACAAAATTTTCTATAAAGGGCAGAACATTTTCCAGTTTGATAGCATCATTATTGGAAATTTCCGTGCCATTAAATGAATCTTATCTGCCTCTGTATGAAACTGCTGCTGGTAGAAAGGTGTATGATGATACTCTATGCGCCGTTAAGAAACGAATGCCTCAATACATTGAAGAACTGGAAGGAACTGCTGATGGAGCCAAAGTACCATTTCACAAGGTAAATCATCAATAAGCTAATTATTAAATATATAAATATATGAAGCTGGTCCCTAATATGGTTGTTTTCGAATTTTATCTCTCCCAGTGGCTCAAATGCTTCCAAATTGATAAAAAAAATCTCTGAAAATTTTAGCTCTTAATATTAACTTTAAGATGAAACTCCAACCAAAGCTTCTATTGAAATAACATGGGTAAAATTCCAAACTTAGCGACAAGTGAATCAAACTTTTGAGAATAGCATTGTATTTACTTATTTTGATCACGAATAAAAGAATTACAATAAAAATTTGATGTATTTCATAACATATGTATTTACTTAAGAAAAAGAACCAAGAAACTTTGGTTGGAGTGCGTACTATGTTAGAGTTAATATTAAGAGCTAAAACTTTCAGAGATTTTTTTTTATCAATTTGGAAGCATTTGAGCCACTGGGAGCAAGGAAATTCGAAAACATCCATATTAAGGACCACCCTAAATTCGATTCATATAGAGCAAAAAAAGTCGCTTAGGAACATATGATTCTGGGGATTAAAATTGGAAACCTTGCTCAATAAACCATACCTTTCAAATAAATTCTGATGTCCGTGGATTGATCCAAAAGATTAAATTTTTAAAAATTTGCGTTTTGATCCATTTGAAGTGCTGTCACTAACAATCATATATTTATGTAGTATAAGCAACAAATCAAATATTTACGTAGTCATATATTTATGTCAAACAATCATATATTTGTGTAGTATATGCAAAAAATTAGTAATAATTATTAATTATAATAATATTTAACCAGATAGATGTGAAAATAAAATAAAAAAAAATGACTCTGGCGGGGTTCGAAATTTTTGAAGATAGTGCGGCAATTTTTTCGACGAAAAATCGAATTTTAGCTCCCATCATATTTTAATAATTAAATCAATTTTTAACAGAAGCTACTATAAATTGTAAGTCTTAAAATATTCTCGATATAGTAATTTTCGAAACTAGTGGTGCATGGCATCATGCCTTAAGGCAAATTGCTGGAACTTCCCATACCATAATGCAATATTCGAGAGACTTCAAATGTTTTTAAATAGATTGACAATGAAGAACCTCATCTCATATTTTTAAGAATTGTATAAACTGAATTTTACCTAGAATTAAAATTAAATTCCGAAATTCCGTGAATCAGCACGACTCCCTTTCCATAGAAATCGATTGCTTTTTGAATAATTGAAATCGGATATAATTGATCGGAATAATTGATCAGAACGCCCGAAATCGAAGATAAAAAATTGTATCCACACACCACACATCCATTTTTCTAAGGTATGCCAAAATGTTCAGAAACCTTCGTAAAGATATGCAAAAAAATTTAATTTCGATTTTTGGACGATTACAATAACTTACCCTACGTGAATAATTCGCAATTTTAGAGAAATTTCATAATATGCCGAATAAGCGCCAACACTTTTTAATTTTTCATGTATTTTTCTCTTGTTTTCTTCTGGTTTTATGTGTTTCAATTCACACCTTTTTTGTTCAAGTGAACAATTTCAACTTATCTATTTTCAGTTATTTTTGCTCCATTCCGATGACATACTTCCAAATGTTGTGGAGAAGAGAAACAACAATGTGGATGTTAATCATGGTTGCACTACAATTTGTATTAATCAGCCGGGAGCTGTGAGTACCTATCTAAAAAAATACAATAATCAAAATCGTACAAAAAAATTCTATAAATACGTTTTTAGCGTCCAGTGATTTAAAATAACATTTACGAATTTAATTCGCAGGAACTATTGTGCCACACTGAAGACGCTCTCACAGAAGATTTGAACCATTTTTACTTCGTAGCTTGTGATATTGATGGCCCGAATGGAACAAAGGAAAAATTTACATCTCTGTGTTATGCTGGACATCTGCCTGGTTATACTATGGGCTATAACCAGCACGGCCTAGTCTACAGTATTAACACCATCCAGGCATTGAACCTGCGTAGCGGAAAGACACGTGAGATATTATTTTTTTACGATGGCAGTATTTACATTCCTATGAATAGAAAAAATAGTAAATGTTGCAGATTATCCTCATTCCTATACTCAATTAAGAAAAGTCATTTTAATGCGGTTTCAATTTAACGCAATTCAATTTAAAACTAGACGTGAGTGTTATTTTATCTTAAGGCGAGCTGAATAAATATTCCGACACGTGTAAATAATTGACTCAATCAATATAAATTGAGATCCAGATTTTTAAATAAAATAATCATTTTTTTTATTACTAAAAACTAATCAATACTATTTACAATCGATATCTTTCAAACAATTATAATATACTCATTTTTAGCCTCATTTTTTGTTTGAACATAATATTTAAAAATGTTCGATCAGATCATGAACTTTATCGTCATGATAAGGTGTATTGAAAACGTCCCAAAAATTTAATTAAATCTGATATCTTTAGAACAGTTTTTAACTTCTTGTAGGGCAAGATATAGTAATCGCAAAAAAATCGAAAATGAAAATGTTTATATATCGTTACGTTTCAGAGGTTTCTGAACATTTTGGCATACTTTAGAAAAAATGGATGTATGTTGTATGTGTGTGTATGTATGTGTGTTCGAATACAAATTTTTGTCGACGATTTCGGGAACACGGTTCAACCGATTTCAATTATTCAAAAAACATTCGATTCCTACTAATAAGGAGATGTGCTGATTAGTTTTTGGCATAGACAGGTATAGCCGTTTCGAAAATACGGGGCAAATGGTGCCAAAGACGGTAACTCAGTTTTTAAGAGAACGGAGCGTCCGATTTTAATTATTCAAAAAACATTTTACTTGTATTGACAAGAGGAAAAGCTGATTAAACTTTTGGGAAGACATGTCTAGCGGTTTCGGAGATCTAGTAAAAAAAAGTTTTGAGGTCAAAAATGATCATTAGACATATGCACATCAAATCAGATATTTTATGGAGATTTTAATAATGTGTACCAATTTTAATCAAGTTTACATTTTTATGAGTTTCGTTTGCCCGTTAGACGGCGACGCGGCGCTTACGCGCTTCGATATTGCATCTCTATGGAGCTAAAGCTTTGAAAAAAGTTCAAAATTTCCAAAATATTTCAAACTAAAAAAAACATTTTCTTCCAAAAAAGTTTTTTTTTCAAAAATTTAAAATTTCTCGAAAATGTAATCTTTTCAAAGTTTAAAACATATTTAATCTTTTTTTTTTAATTTTATTTTTGGTACGGTAAGTTCCAGCAATTTGCCTTAAGGCACGATGCCACACTAGTCGAAATTTTAAACTTGTAGTAGTATTTTTGGTTAAAAAATTTTGCACGTAGCTGCTATTTGTAAATAAACGACTCGGCCGATCTTTGCGAAAAACTAATCGGTTTAACCCATCCTAAAATATTAAAGGCCTACGAAAAGTTACAAGTTATAAAAATTCATTAATTTTTGAGATAATGAGTTAGCTTTCAAATTATACTAGTTACGTATGTGTGAACTATAATTTTTTGCACTCTAAATTTCAAATTTTTTAACACTTTTTAAAAAATATCAGGAGGAAATCGCATTGATTTTTAATCATGATTGCTTCACAAAATTCTTCTCACTCTGAATCCTATGTTTATAAAAATATAATTTATTTTCATTTTGCCACTTGTATGATCAGTGAAAGCCAAACTTTATTTTCGAAATAAACAGTTAAAAATTTTATCGAAATAGTTAAAACCATAATAAAACTCGCTTTGTATTGAGTCGATTATTCACACATACCGGAAAGTTCATACAAGTGGCAAAATGTCGGAACAAAATGCCACTCACCCCTAGTGGAAATATAACTTCTATATAAAAAATGAATTATGTTCTTATAAACATAGGATTTAGAGTGAGAAGAGTTTTGTGAAACAATATAAAAATTTAAATGAAACAACATTAAACCATGGAATGCGTTATTTTCCACTACAATTCGCAATTAAATTTGAAGGATGTTTTATGCAATCGACTATCGCGGTATAAATTTAAAAACTAATAGAGTAATAAATACTGAACTACGCGAATTCTTGGTCAAGGTTATTCAAGAAATATTGTGGTTTTTTAGTAATAAGTAAATAATTTGCATAATAAAATAATTTAAAATCTACGTAATGTAGAAATATTGTTTTCTTTGTCTTACTATTGACCAAAATTATAAGAAAAACGCTGAATGCCTAATCTTATCAAGCAAAAATAAAATGCAACGAATGGAAAAAGATTGACAAACCTATTAAACAGCAAAAATAATTGACGTCCTTTCTTATGTGTAAATTAAATTATGTGTATGTCAGAAATGCATAAAAATAATCGTCACTAAAGCATATGATAAGGTAATATAATAATTTTTATATTTTGATGAATATAAATTTGTTCATTTATTACTAGCATAGAAAACTTAAGACGTTTACTTAGCTAGTAAAAACTTAACTGATTTGCAAATCAGTTAACCATGGTTTACATGAAAAATCCTTCAACCCGTATGTTTAGAGTATGAAGTAATATTTTCCTTCTCAATGCTATATACTAGGATTAAATATCATTTTGTCTTAAGAGGATATTATGGTCAAAATTTTTTGAAAAACTGAATATTTATTTTTTGAATATTTTAAAGTTTAACTATTCAATAATATGTGTACAAGTAGATTTTTCAAAATTTAAAGTCTTTTTGGGAATGAAACTATTTGATCACAATAATCCTCCTTTGATTCCTTCCTCTGCAAAACTCTAAACGAGTTTTTCTCGAAACTGTCTTTCGATACTATACCCATAATTGCTCAATTTTTACTAGAACGAGAGACTTACTATTTTTACATAATATTCTTTATACAACTTCTTTGCAGTATAAACTTCTTTTCAGTATAAATAATAAATTCCGATTTTTAATATTTTTCAAAATTTCAATATTCGAATATCAAAAAACGTTGTAAATTTGTTTCAAACAGTTGCTATTTTGTGGAAAAAATTAATTCACCTTGTCCGTAAACCATGCAATAGCGTTATTATTCTGAATTATTTTTTTTTTCTTCGGATAATTTGGAGAGCAAAGATCAGGTACCAATTTTTTTTTTGTTACTCAAAACGTTAATTAATAACTTGTAAAAAATATAGACCAAAAGTTGCATGATCTTTCCGATATAGTAAATAATCGACTTAATCTACAAGAAATCAACAAATTATTTTATGAGTGATTTATAACTATACCGAGTTGCTTTAGAGCATTATGATATGAAAAACCAGATATTGATTCACATGCACATCGTTCAGTTTTGCATAAATACTTAAGTTTAAAAAACAAATAACTAACAAACCAAAGCGAGTGCTCATTGGCTTCATCAAATGACTTTTCAATTGACATTTTTTAAATTGATTCAGCCGTTTTTTGTGAAAACTTCGGTAAAATTCAAAAATTGGCCGATATACACAAACATGAGCAAACCACATACTTTTTTCTAATTTAGTCTTAAACTATTCATAATGTTTTGAAATGTGGAGACAACCAAAATTAGATTCCCCAAATTTTATAGCTAAAACATGAACTTAAACTGTACCTCAAAATATTCATAAAACTGTCCTTCAACATCTTTTATGTGTTCGGATATTCAATTCTATTTATTCATTCCACCAGCGCGCCATTTCCTGGCTTCATCAAATGACTTTTAAATTGACATTTTTTAAATTGATTCAGCCGTTTTTTGTGAAAACTTCGGTAAAATTCAAAAATTGGCCGATATACACAAACATGAGCAAACACATACTTTTTTCTAATTTAGTCTTAAACTATTCATAATGTTTTGAAATGTGGAGACAACACAAAATTAGATTTCCCAACCTTTTTATAAATAATCATGAACTTACTGACTTACCTCAAAATATTCATAAAACTGTCCTTCAACATCTTTTATGTGTTCGGATATTCAATTTCTATTTATTCATTCCACCAGCGCGCCATTTCCTCGGACGTGCATTATTAGCTGCAAAATCCATTCGCGATGTAAAATGCATTTTAGAAGATGCAGGTTGCGGCGCGGCCGATGCCTTTTCTGTAAATGCTACATTTTTGGATGACAAACCTAGGGTTTTTTATAATATTGAAGTTGCACCTGCAGATGATGACCAGGACCAAAGTTTGATTGATGCTACATGTGCTGGACCGGGAAAAAATCTTGTGCATTGCAACAGGTACATTGCCACAAATTCATCACAAAAACTTATCGTCGACTGTGAATAATATAATGATTTTGTCAGCAATTTTTTTTTAATTATAACAATCTACATTATTTATTGTTGTACAAAGAACTATTCTTAAAAATAATGTAAGAAGAAATGTATTTAGATAAACCACTAATTATGTTTACTCATTTCAACAATATCTTCATTAATTTTTTATATCTGTTAAAATACAAATATGCAATAACCATTTAGGCCTATGCGTATATGCCTAAATAGTACTATTTTTTATTAATATGAAACATTCAAAGAATTTTGAAGGGATTAATAAACTTCTTATGTTTTGCAATAAAATAATACAGAAGTTAAAAAAAAATTGCAGACTCTTACGGTTGAAAACTCCAGAGGTGGAAGGTTTCATAATAGAAAATTCACAAGCGCGAATGGATGAATTGGACAAGAGAGGCACTGCCAAATGCAAATTGGATGCCATTAATGCACTCGGTGATCAAAGTAGAACAGATCATAATATTTTTCAAGATAATGGTCCGGATGATTATGTTAAAACAATAGCTGTGGGTATGTATGTACTGCTACAAATTTGCTTATTGGACATATATATATATATATATATATATATATATATATGAGATTCAATCTTCAGGGCAATACATCAATTAAAAACTTGAAAGAACTTATAACATTTTTATTGTTTCCATATGTTTCGATGCATTGTGTTGTGTCATCTTCAGTAGACGAATTTGTATTTTTTATTATTATTATTTTTATTTAATTATTTTTATCTCAATTCTTACCAACTATGTCCACCCTCACAATTGACATCTTTTTAATTATATGCACCCTCCGCTTGTTCCTTTTTTTACCTAATCTACATGTGTTTTGCACATTTTGATTAACTGTCGCATCGGACATCGACATTACAACATGTGCTCTTTACAATAAGAAATTCTTCTAAAAATTTATAAAATTGTTCCGATTTAAAGTCACAAAAACTGTTTTAGTAGTGCAATTGTGAACAATTATTACTAAAATTTAATTACATGCAATTACATGTAAGTTTTTACACCATATCACTTTCTTTATATAGTAGTTTGAATTAAGAGTTTTAATCTGTTTTTTCAAACTAGTCCACTGAAGATAACACAAAACAATGTTATAAGTTCCTACAAGTTTTTAATTGATGTATTGCCCTGAAGATTTAATCTCACATATTTCAACATCTAAATTATTAAAAAAAAATTAACATATATATATATATATATATATTATATATGTAAATGTAATAAGTTTATATTTTAAACCGTTTCATTCACAGATATATAGCACCCTTCAATTCTTCAATACTAATCTATCTAGTTTACATACTATGCATAAGAATGATACAAATTTAAAGAACTATATTTGGATTATAAAACTATATTTAAATATTTTAAAACAATTTAGTATAAAAATATTATTAACATATAGCTCACCGATTAATAATGCCACATGTAAACTTTTCTGAAGCTCTAATAAACTAATAAACTAACTATATCATAAAACATGATATGAGCTATAATAATATCAAAAGTTAAAACTAAAATTTATATATATATATATATATATATATATATATATATATATATTTGCAATAAATAATCATCACTTTTCAGGTATTTTTGACTGTATAGAGAGAACATGGGCCATATATGATGATAATCCCAAGTCCTGTGAACCATCAGTTATTTTACCTCTCAGAGTTGACTCCAAATGTTAAAACTTATTCAAATATCGTAATACTGTTCCACATACAAATTATTTTCTCTGCTTATTTCCTGAGTGCTCTTCATCATCATTTTCTCTTTCAATGTGACGTTTCTTTGACTCTTGAGTAGTTCGAATAACTGTTGACATTCCATTCACAAACCGTGTTTGAAACAATACTGTTGCGTTGTTAAACATTCCTTCTTTTAAAGAGACGATTATGAACTGAAAACAATATAGGAATGTAAAATTGGTGATACAATACTGTACAGTTTATTATACATCACAATGTAAAATTTCATAGTTGAATATTGAAGTGGCATTTTTAATAGAGCATGAATGAGTATTTTACATATTTTTTAATATATGTGCACCAAATCGAAAAGATTTAATGAATGTATTTAAAAATATTATATGTAGATATTATATTTAAGTAATATCTTCTACTACTTTTTAAAGATATTTATATTTAAACATAATTGTTTGCAATAATATTATTTTTTATGACTAAAACAAATGCATATCTGATGGCAATAATATTAGTAATGATCCAATTATTTGAAATTAAATATAATACATAAATAAAAAAAAGCTTTATTAAATTTATTATTAAATTAAATATTTATATTGATATATATTCAATCAATTCAATCAAAGTTTTGTATGGAAATAGCATGAAAAAATTAAATTTAAATAGTCGAATTTTCAATAAAAAATGACAAAAATGTTTTCTAACAAAACATTGCACATTTATTGCATTGGGTACCAATTCTATATAACTTGTTAACTTCCAATATGCATTGCTTGTATATTACACTTAATTAACATTTCTTATATAACTTTGTAACTCTGATATACATTGCACGAATATTACATTTAATTAACATTTGTTATATAATTTTGCAAAACAAAAAGTTACATTATGGCAACAAGTAGTGTGTGTGTGAATATCTGTGTGTAGTTACCTGCGATCCTTTAAAATGATTTTTCAACATTTGTCCAATATTTTGAGTGTGTGATAAATCCAAGGCAGCATCAACTTCATCCAAAATATACAAAGGAGCAGGTTTATAGAGCAACATAGCCAAAATCAAAGACAAAGCAACTAAAGATCTTTGCCCTCCACTCAATTCATTCAAAGAATCTTTCCAAACATTATTAAAAGAGACTTTTACCTTAAAAAATAAATCAAATAAACATTTTGTCAACATTGAACTAAGTCATTAAGACAAAAATTGAAAGATTAACAATACTTCTATCTTGTTGTGTATCAATCTACTAATTATCATATTAAGGTTCACAACAAAATATTGTGCAGTTTGAATAAGTGGTCAATATGTTAAAACTATTATACAGAAAACAGAAATTTATTAAATGAGCATAGAAAAATTGTAGCAATAGAATATGAAACACAATAACTAAATATTTTATTTTATGAAACATTACTTCCAATCCTTCAGAAAGCGGTTTTCCTTCAACAGGTTGAAGTTTTGCATTAGTACCAGGCAGTAATGTACCAAATATAGAGCCAAAATCTTTGTTGATATGCTTATAAGCCTCCTCAATAGTCTGTTTCTTGACAGCATCTAATCGTGAAAGTGTACCCTTAAGCCAATGTTGATCCTCCTCAACCATTTGCTTTCTTTGTACTGCATTGTTGAACTAGAAATAATTTAACATACTTCTTAAACAAATAAAAATTAACTAAGCTCATATAGCTGTTATAAATTAATTTTAAAAATATAACTTTTTGCTTAATTTGTTTCTCCAATGTTTTAATAACCTGTTGTGAGTTTGAATAATTTCTTAGTTGTATATCAAAGCAAGTAATCTATGATGATATAAAATATATTCAACTATTCAACATAAACAAAGGCAATAGAAAAGTTTTATTAAATTAATTGATAGTACCACATGATTTAAAATAAAATTAACTATCTTTGAGATTTTCTAGAAATTTTAGTTATTTTTTAAAAAATCTTGATATTCAAACCGTTATTTGATTTAACAGATAATTACGTAATTGAAAAAGTTATGCAAATTATGCAAAAAATGTATTCGTATATCTATTAGAACTCACATTAGATTCTTCAGTGGGCAGCATAGACATGGCTTTATGATTCAAATTACGTTCCATGGTTTTTTTAGTTTCAGTCATAATACTAATTTTTCTTGCAAGTTCCTTCATATCTATTTTTCTGAAATCATAGCATGTACCAGGTTTTCCAAATAATTCTTCTTCATCTTTGATCCAAGGATAATTTGATAAAAGATCATCTTTCTAAAAATGTATTTATATTTAGATTTATAAAACATTATTAATATAGTTCTATATATAAAACATTATAATATAGAAATAATTTAAACATCTTTTAAGTATTAATTTGAGATAAGATACAGGTTTTGAATAATATATAAATTAATATCACCACTTAAGTATTAAAAAGAGCATATGAAAAACAGTTTCAAATTTACCTTTTCTGTATTATCTTCCAATTCATTCTTTTTCTTCTTAAGACTTTGTTCAGTTTTCTTAATATTTAAACTTATTTCCTCGTTTTCTTTTTCAAGGTTTTCCTTTCGAGTAATAATCTTTTGAACTTCACTATTCTTTTGAATTAAAAGATTTTTCTTTTCTTTCATTAACATTTCTAACTCTTTGGAACGCTGCTGTAGTGTCTGTTGTTCTGCTTCTAAATTCTGGAGTTCTTTCTTAATTTCTTCAATTATTTGATCAGATTTTTTAATTTGTTCTTGATATTCGTTAATATGATTTTTCAGTTCCGAAATCTCTATAGTCATGCACAAAAACTCCTGAAAATACAGCAAACATGTTAACAATATTTGGCAATAAAATAAAGTCCTAATTAAGGACATGACAAAACATGACAATATCTATCTCATTCCAAAACTAATTCTTGTTATAATTAATATTAAGCATAATAGCAATAAATACAATAAGATTGATAAATTATATTTGTTTACAATACAATATAAAAGTATAGCATAATATAAAGAAACTAAGCTATGGTTGGTTTGAAATTTACACTACTAAATTTCAATTGAATTACTTCTTCATAGCTCACAATAATTTTTGTCATTCATTCTTAGAAATATAAAAACAATTTGGTATGAATCGATTGTCAATGCTATTTACTAGTATGCTGATAAGTATTGAAAGTAATTCTTATGAAATTTTTAAGAACTCTTTGATATAACTCTATTCTTACTTATCAACTACATAACACATTTTAAAGTAGGAAAGTTCATGAAGTTTTCCTAAAGATAGTTAAAATATAAAGCTAATTGAAGTATTTGTTAGTAAGTAAAAAAGATTGACATGCCTGTTCCCGAGCCTGCCATTTCTTCTTACTACTATCTGCTTTTTTTCTAGCATTCTCAACATCTTGCTGAGCTTGTTTTAAATCTCTTTCTCTGCTTCCTTTTGAATCTTTAACTTTTGCAGTTAATTCAGTAACAGCCTTTTTAGCTTTTTCATGAGTAGTTTTTGTTTCCTCCAGTAACTTTAAGTGAGACGCTAAAAGAATTATGAGATATAGATTGAAATCTTAAAAAAAAAAAAATCATAAATGTATATAATACTTTATGATTTACTTTTACTTGTTAATTTCTATTCACATTTTGAGAGAAGAACTGCAAAACTATTACTAATTTAGAATGAAAAGAATTGATTACTGATGCCTGTAATTATTACCTATGTCTTTCCTAAGTTTTTTCATTTCCTCTTGATGATGATGAAAATCTGTTTGTTCTAATCGTCTTTGCACTGTTTGAAGTTCTATAGATTTGACATCTATTTGATGCTTTAGGTCCATATATCTAAAAATATGAGTTTTATGAAATTTCAAATAAAGATCTACAAAAAAAATTGATATTCAAAATATCATTTGATAATGGAGCTTTAATTTATGTATATATATTTACAAAGATATACATAAATAGACACTCTTTCTCTTTTTTACACCCCATAAAATATTTAGAAAATTATACAGTTATTCAATGAAAGTGGCTAAACATGAAATTTCATAATAAATTAATAAATTAAAAGTAATACTAAAAATCAAATTCAGTTGATTTCACTTACTTATCAGCCAATGATGACATTTTGCTTAATCTTGCATTAACATTTTGCAATTCTTCCTGTTTGCATTTAAGATCATATTCAAGATTTTCTAATTCATATAAAACTTGTAAAGGAGATGCTCCACGAGAAACAGCACCTCCAGAAAGTGTTCCAGCTGGATCCATAACATCCCCATCTAATGTGATACATCTAAGCTTAATTTTGGGATGAAAAGCCACTTTCCTTGCAGTATCTAAATCCTTAAAAAATAATAATGGTATATAAATGCCAGTTTCAGAATTCAGAGTCTATAAACTAGTACACAAATTTAATACAGATTAAATTATCATAACTGAAAAAAAAATGTACCCGAAACATTTCAAAGTTATTAGTTTAATTCGTTTTGTTAAATACAATAAATTTTGTTTAACAAAACCACTAAGTAAGGCAACAAAATTTAAAATATTGCTAAATCACAAAAGATGACAATAAAAAACACAATATGTAATTACTTTGGTAGATGTGTAGTTCTGAGGCTTTTGCTTAATTTTTTTTATATATATATATATATATATATATATATATATATATATTTAGATACAACGTACATAGAGACAAAGACAATTTTTAAAACTTAACAGTTACCTCACAAATGAACATTGAACCAAAAACATGCTTCATTGCTGGTTCATCTACATCCGAAAATCTTATGCAATTCATAGCTGCTTGAACTTTATTGGCACCCACCTAAATAAAATTTTTATTATAAGGGAACTACATGACAAGGAAGCACACTGCCTGAAAGCTTACCAGACTTTTAGCAAATTCTTCTGTTCTTCTATCAATTGATCGTGCAGAAATTTTGTTCAAAGGAATTATCGTTACTCTGGTCTTCAGTTGTCCATTTTTGAGAAGTTTTCTACCAGTCTCTTCAGTATCGACAACTATATTGTATAGCTATTAAATAAATTTAAATTAAAGGTCTGATTAATATTAATGTTGATTAATATTATACCTTATATCTATAAATATTATATATATATATATATATATATATATATATATATATCTTTTGAACGTTTCTAAATTTTCTAAATTGGTTCAAGATGTTCAGAAAAACGGCTCAACCGATGGTCTCATGGAATTATCCTGCAGAGTCCTTATCCGGTAAAAATATTAAAACAAAGATGTTCAACAAACTCACCTTGCTTGCTGCACAAATTTCCAAGGCTTGCCTGTAGTCATCCGAAACTGGTTTAAACAATTTGCAAAACATACCATGAATACGTCTTCTGTCAAAATTAGGTTCAGGGTCTTGAAAATCAAAATTAAATCTTTCATTTGCTGCTCGCAAGTTTTCATACTTGTACTTCTTAGCTCGACATTCTTGAGTGAGTCCATTTTGTGCTTGCGAAAGATTTCGGAATTCTTCTTCAGAATAATTTATATCTTGCATTTTTACCTGCAGATACATATAAATATTTTTTTATAATTGAAATATAGTAAAGTTAATAGAAGTATATTTTTTGCATGTATATTAAATTAATAAAACAATACCATTTACAAACTTCTTAACTTAGATTTTAGTACAAAGTTAAGTGAGTATTAAAAATATATAATACCATGAAATGGTGCAAAATCTCACATCTATTTTGGAAAATATTAGAAACTCTGAAATGTTTTATAGTGCTTTCACAAAAAAAAAAAAAAGAATCATTGTTAATTTGATAAATCACAGACAGTAGCAATTATTAGTGATTTTAATTGGTAATTAGTGAAATCTAAGATAAAATTACCTTAAATTTATCAATTTCTGCTTGAAGTCTAGTCAGATTACTTTTATCATTATTGTATTGAGTATCTGCTTTACATGTTGCCTTCTCAAGATCAGATAGTTCTGATTGGAAATGGTTTAACTCCATTTCGTATTGTTTGCACAATGATGCTGAATTAATAACTGTCTCCTGAGCTTTTGTCAATTGATCTTGAACAGCAACTGCATTGCCTTCCTCATCTGCCGATAAACCAGCAGATATAGCCTAAATTGAGTGAGAGAGTGAGTTAGATCATTAAAAGATTAAAAAAACAAATAAAAAAAAACTAGCTTGAGAGTAGAAGTATATATATATATAAATATATATATATATATATATATATATATATATTTATATATATGCATATTAATTTAGAAATATAAACAAACCGCATTCTTTTTTTCACTAATTTATTAAATAATGGAACAAGTTAGAACTGTTAACACATAGTGCTATTTAAGATTTTCATATTTTAGATTCTAATTATAATACACTGATGATGAGACAAACCTAGTCTCGAAATGTTTGTAAAATTAATATTATTTAATAAATTAGTGCAAAAAAGTGCTGTTTGTTCATATTTCTAAATTAATATATAACCACTCAGAATAGGTTTTATATAAAGGTAACACCAATTTAACACAGTTTGATAATTAAAACTATCTCCCTTATGATATCCAGTAAAAATATTAAAACAATGGTCCTTTTACTGCACGGTTTCTTTGTAACACAGTTTGAGAATTGAGCAATCCCTTAAAAAAAAAAACTATCTAATTGGCAATATCACTATACAACAGCATAATAATCATAATAAAACTAGTGCAAAGGATATATCATTTGATATTCCTGATTTGAGTCTGTACATTCGATTGGAAAAAAAGTTTTGGCTTACCGGAACATGTAATTATATTTCTTAAATGAAAATGTTTCTTATGCCCTAAATTTAAGAGAGAGCTCCATATATCCTTAGTATCATATGAAGAAAATTTCTTTTAGTAAATTGAAAATAACAATTATTTGCTAAATATAGAACATGGATATAAAGGTAGTGAAAGCAAAATGCTCAGAGGATAAGGTTATCAGCAAAAAAAAACTCTTGCTTTGAATAGTACATACTTCTGACAAAGAAGATATCATTTCATTCATTTAATACATATTACTTCTTTAAAAAAATAATAAAAACATTTATCTTCATTATAAAAATATGATAGCAAGTATTATTAATTTCTGGAATGCAACCCCTCTTGTAACTAGTTCTTTGTTTCATTTAAGGTGATTTCCCATAACATAACAACTAGTTTTTTGGAATGTTACTACCTGTATACAAATGTTTTAAAAGAAGAAAAATAATACATTTACCATTAATCTGCGTTCAGCTATTTCAAGAGCCTTTGAATCAGTTTCATCTGCCTTTTTCAAATCTGAAAAAATTTGATCTGATTTTCCCATTAATTGTTCCTTTTTTTGGAGAAGATCTTGGTCATCTTTCAATGATTTCATGACCAAATTTTTGCTTTCATTTTCACGTTTAATTGAAGATGAAACAGATTTGTGTTGTGCATTTATAGTAACCTCCTTCATGTTATGTTCTTTGATTTCCGCATCAAGTTTACGTAATTCTTCATTGTCCTAAAAATTAAATAAGAATGAAATAATAGAACCAACAAAATTTAAGTCAACTTTACTTAATAGTGCCTATAGCCAGAAGGATTAACAATAATGAAGAGTAAGTCATTAGAGTATGAAATGAATTAAAAAATCAAAGCCATTAAAATCCAATTATATTGAAATCTTATAACTGAACACTTTATAATTGTAATGACTAGTATGGCAATTTTTAAACTTAAGATTAGCAATATAACTATATTAATAAATATTGCGCAAAGGGATGTAAATTTCATCACAGGCATGTATTTAAATAAATAAATAAATAAAAAAGATGTACAATTTAAAAAAATTAATTAATGTGTTTTTTGGAAAACTAAATATGTAATCAGTGTTGTTGTGGTAATATTTTTTTTGCCGGAACGCTAAAATTAAAAAAACGGTTCATAAACCGGTTCAAAAACCGGTTCTCATGTTTGTTCCGGTTCCGTTCGAAAAGAAAAGAAACAAAAATTATTACAAAACCCATTCTGTGCACACATGTGTATGTTTATTACAATAATAGAAACATTTAATAAAAATTAGTTGAATTATAATTTATAAAATTCACTTATTAAATCTTTTTCTGTGTGTAGCGATTTTTAAATTGTTTTTTGCCGGAACGACGTTCCGGTGCGTTCCGGCTCGACAACACCACTGTATGTAATGTAAAATAAATATTAACTTACTTCAGTATTCTGTTCTTGCATATTAATCACTTTTTGATCAATATTCACACATTCATCTTTATTATTTTTTATTTTATCTTGAAATGCTTGAATATCATTTTCAAACTTTAAATGATCCTTAGCAATGCTTTCTATCATTTTCTTATGATTTGAATATTTATGGGCTACAAATATACGTGTAGATACATCTAAGTCTCGTTGCAATTTTTGATAATCCATAAAAAGAACTTTATCTGAGCGAAGCTTCTCCAGACGAGGTGTAACTTCACCTTCTATAAGCTAAATGTTTTAATTATTCATAAAAATTCAAAGATTCAATTAATTTGCGGCCTGCAAGTACTTACTGAAGCCATTTCTTGTAATTTGGGGCATTTTTTATCTACTGTTTTATTAGCCACTTCTCTTTTCGTTTCATATGAACGGGTGCCAGCAGCCTCTTCAATAAGTGAAAGAATCTAAAATAATTATATTCAATTACATTACATTTATTTATTGTTATATTATAAACTTGTTCAGTGTTTAGAACCATTTACAGAGACCTGATATTTTAATATTGTTATATAAATGAATTATGCTTTATTTGACACATTCAACAATAAAAATATAAAATGCAATAAGATAATAAAGAATAAATTTTCAGACAAAAAGAAAAAATAGAAAGACAGTTCATGAGTAAAAAGCGTCGATAAAATGTTTACATGAAACATGTGCATATATTGTATAAAATGCAAACAAGCATTTACCATACCTCAATTGGTTTCATATTTAAAACTTTTGTGATCCGGCCTTGCATAATCAGAAAGTTTGGATTGTTTACATTCAGCTGTATAGAGATAAAGAAATCAATTACTCTTTTATTTTGGACAATCACCCCGTTAATTATGTATTTATTTTTTCCTCCAATTTGTATCTAAAAAGATTCATAATACATTACAAACAACTACTAATGAAGCTTGAAAAACTCTCATAAATTTCTTACTTGTCTTGATATAGTAATTTCATCATATTGTTCGTAATTGATGGGACTGCATTTTTTATTTGTGTTATCAAAATATATCGTAACTGTTGCTTTTGTGACACCTGCTTGGCCAGATTTGTAAACCAGGTCTTGAAGAGAAGAAGCCCGCACCTGAAAACAAAATTTTAAGATTTGAAAACAACATTGCATCTTTTTAGAATAATTGTAATTAATTGCTTTGTTCAACGTACATTGCTTAAATTTGAAATTCCTAGCACAAAACATATTGAATCCAGAATATTTGACTTTCCAGTCCCATTCAAACCAGTAATAGCATTAAATTGCGAATCAAATGGACCGATTTCTGTGCGGTTTCCATAAGACTTAAAACCATCAATTATAATTTTTTTTATGTACATGATAGACTAGATATAAAATAGATATAAAACATATATATGTCTTGTAAAAATGATTAAAAACCTAGTGATATAAAACAATGATACATGAGAGCGTACAAGACCTATCTCAAAAAATAACAAATAACCGTAAAACAAATTGTCAGTTGATCATAATTAAGCATAGATGATTTGAATGGTTTTATTTTAGTCGGAAACTCAATAACACAATCTTTGAAATATCTAACCATAGATAAAATCAAAAAGAGTATCAACATAGATATCAAAATCAAAGTCATAGATAAAAAAGTAAAGTTCAAAACCACATGATCATGGCCATCAACCCCATAGAGAGTAATCGACTCTTCTGTTATCTATGGAGTGATCAAACAAACCAACGTCAATGTGACAGATGGTGACAGAATTCTCAAATACTAAGTAACAATCGTAACAATATTTAATGTAATTTAATGTTCTCAAATACACGATAAAGTTTTTTTCAATAAATAGATTAAGAAACAAAATGAATGTAATTTTTCATTAATCAAATATTTATGTAAAGTCCCCATTATATATATTTTTAATATTTTTAATGATTTACATTTTAATTAAATAAAACCATACTGATCAAGAATCATTTTTTGACATAATTATAAAGCAATATTACGTTTAAAGAAGTAATTAACTATGGCGAGTGGAGATCATGCTCCTTTAAGCATTGCCTGTGCTCGCGCTCTAATTGATAAAACATATGACAAAAGAAAGCAAGCCGCATCAGAAATAGAAAAGTACATATTCATACAATTTGTTTATTGTTTATATTATTCTTACATATATTTAATATATATTTTTATTAAAAATTTACTGCAGAATGGTTAAAGAATTTCATGCCAGCAATAACAGTGCACAAATTAGAAAATTATTAAAGGTATTAGAAGATTTTGCTAGTACTCCAAATGCACATGCTAAAAAAGGAGCATTGATTGGCCTTGCTGCAGCAGCTGTGTCGCTAAATAATGTTTGTAGCAACAATATATAATACTATTTAATTTAATTTTAATGTAAATATTTTTGTTTCAGGATTCCGCCTTATATATAGATAAACTTATTGATCCTATTCTTAGTTGTTTTAAAGATCAAGATCAAAAGGTCCGCTACTATGCTTGCGAGTCTTTATATAATGTAGTTAAGGTAAGAAAACAATTTAACTTATTAATTTACACTAACATATTTATTGAAAATTGATTTCCTTAGTCCGCGAGATGTGCTATCCTTCCTCAGTTCAATAAAATTTTCAGCTCAATGAGTAAACTAGTGACAGACCCTGATTTTCAAGTTAAAAATGCAAGTGAACTATTAGATCGTTTATTAAAGGTAATTAATTGAATTACAATTATTTTTATAATTAAATTTATGCATTAATTAGAGATATAATATAACTAGGATATAGTGACTGAAGGCATGCCATTTGACTTAGTTTCATTTATGCCACTAATCAGGGAACATATGTATGGAACAAGCAGTCATGAACATGCTTTCATAATATCATGGATATCAGTTCTTGATGCTGTGCCTGATATTGATTTAGTAATGTACTTACCAGATATATTGGATGGTTTATTTGCAATGCTACAAGATAATAAACCAGAAATTAGAAAGATGTATGCTATTAGATTATAACCAATTAACATTAAATTATTTGCTACTTTTAATTTACTAATGACAATAGGTGCGAAACAGTATTGGACCAATTTCTTCGAAGTATTAAAAAAAATCCAAATAGAGTTAATTTCACCGAATTTGCAAATATTGTGATTATGCAAGCTGAATGCTCAATGAATGGTCCTATTCAACAACAGCAGCTTATAACTCAGGTACATATTAGATTAAAAAATCCAGAAAACTAAAAATTGAAGAACTGTTCTTACTTCAGTTTATAGCTATAACATGGATTAAAGAATTTGTTCAACTGTCTGGTCGATGTATGCTACCATTTCTGTCAGGAATCATAGGTGTAATATTACCGTGCTTAGCATATGAATCAGATTCCAGGAGAAGTAATATTTAATTTCTAAAATAATTTTTAAAATGATACATATTTTATATTTTGTTATTTTTACTTTAGATATAAAGGAGACAGCAACTGCATTGAATTTAAGTCTTCTAAAATTAGTTGCCATTGAAGCTGGTGATAATTGTAGTCGAGGTGAGAATATATTAATATTTAGAAATTACCAAGTTAACAATATTTTCATCACATAGAAGGAAAATCGGAAACCGATATTAATATGGCATCTGTGATTGAAGTATTATTAAATAATCTGATAAATGAATCTGTGCAAACTAAAGTAGCTGTTCTTGAGTGGATTCATCATCTGTATACACAAATGCCATTGCGGGTAATATAATAATCGTAATAACTACCATGTAATAATTATTGAAAATATTTGTTTTATGCAGATGGAAACTTATACCAGTACATCCATATTTCCAGCATTACTTAAAGTACTCTCAGACAAGTCAGATGAGGTTGTTGTTCCATGCCTTCTTGTCTTAGCTGAAGGAGTTGCTAAGAAGCCTGTCAATCAAAAAGTTCTCTCTGGTAATTGTTTAAACTATTTTGGTACTTTATTCAAACTTAAATATTCAAGCAAATATTTGTTTATAAAATATTGTCAGTAAATAGATTTTGGTTATAATGAAATATTTATTAACTCGCCGAAGGTGAAAATGTTTTTGCAAAAAAGTCCAATTTGCTAAATGCCTATTTTATGTTTTCTCAACGTTTCAAGTCATTTTGAATCAAATGAGACCAAATTCGGAAAAGTAATAATATTACAGTTTATATTAAATAATGATTTAATCGCAATATTTTCATTTTATTGGCAGTTGTAACACACGAGGAGCGAGACTTGCATTATGAACACTTTTTGAAGTGTTTGCTAGATTTATTTAGGTCTGACAAGCAGCTTCTAGATGAGCGTGGTTCTTTTATTCTAAGGTCTGATTTATAGTTACACTAACATGTTTCATAATGCTTAAGCATTAGTATAATAATTATATTATGTTAATATTAATTAACCATTTCTAGACATTTATGTGTACTTCTGAACGCGGAAGATATTTATAGAACTTTAGCTAATATTCTTCTACATGAAACAAATTTGAAATTCACTTCCACAATGGTTGAAATACTGAATATGCTACTGTTGACTGCGAGTGAATTATATACACTTCGAAATATTTTGAAAAATTTGAAATCAAAGGTTGGTATTGAATGAATGTACATAAATTTAGTGATAATGCAATTCATTTTTAATCAGATTTATTTTTAAGGAAAGCATTTCATTGTTTGTATGTCTTTATAAGTGTTGGGCCCACAGTCCCGTATCTACTATTGCCCTATGCTTATTGTCTCAGAACTATCAACATGTCAGCGTCCTGGTTAAATTATTGTATCCTTTAAAAACAATTTCGTTTAGATGAAATTTTAATACGTATATTTTTTTTACTTTCTATATAGCGGTAATTTGGAGTTAACAGTTGATTTATTGATAGAAATGGATAAACTGATACAACTTATAGAATCGCCAATATTTGCATGTAAGTTCACATTGTATATTAATGTTCAATGAAATTGTTGATAAATTTTGGACACAGATTTATTTTTCTGTGCTAGAAGTTTTCTTTTCCTGAAAAAAAAATTTAAATTTGTCATTTATTTTATCCAACTTTTTGAGTATATGCCACTTCTTCAGAAAGTATCAAAAAATAAAAATAAACTAAATGTTTTTAATTATTCAAAAATATAAAGAATTCAGTTTTTATTTTCAAAATCCTGAAAAATCAAGTTGTACATTCACTTAAAATTATACCTTGAGCTACAATTAATAATCTTATTTGAAGCCAGTTAACAAAAAATGAACAAATGGAATAATTCTAATTTGAGAACTATATCTACTTTCATTAAAAATAAAAAGATTTTCAGAAAGAACTGTTAAAAAAAAACAAATTATTGGGTAGCATGATTAGGGATTATCAAAAAGAACTTGCCAGATTGCATATAAATTTTTATAGTTAGGAATTTCAACATTTAATAAAATGGCTAAAATGAATTAGTAAAATAATTAACATATCTGCCAGACCTGGTTGGTTTTTACCCAAACAATTAATATAGCATCACTATGCTCACTTTTAATGTTCAAAAATTAGTTGAAAGGCAACCTTTTCAAGATCACAGCTAAATAAATTAAAAAAAAAAAAATTAAATTATTCCTTTTATCAAGTTGTGTGATACAGTTAATGTAATTTATGTCGTTTCAAGAGTAATGCAATCATATTTTAATTTTTCTATAATATTAATATTTAATCATAATTTTGCAATAATTTATTTTACAGTTTTGCGACTTGAATTGTTGAGTAGTTCGCGTGGAGCACCACTATTATCCGCATTATATGGAATTTTAATGCTTCTGCCACAGACAAAATCGTTTCATATCCTGAAAGCACGATTAGATTGTGTACCGGCTTTAAACATATGTTGCCTGCCCAATAAAGATAAAAGGTAATTCTGATATATTACGAATTTTATAATATTATCATTGATTTTCCTTAAACTTATGAATAAAAAATATTTTCAGAATTGAAGAAGATTCTCTTGACTCAAAAGTAGATTTTAAAAACCTACTAGAACATTTCAATAAAGTACAAAATAATCAGACAGCCTTCAAAGCTCAACAAAGAGCACATATTCTATCAACATTGCAGCGAGATATGAACTTAGTTCAAAACGGATCTTAAATGAAATTTTCGTGTTCAAATGATGAATATATTGATACATTGTATTATAAAATTTATATTTAGATAATAAATAGATTCAATAAATAATGTGAATGAGAAGCATTATTCATTTTTGAAGCATTTTATATTCCATTGTGCTTACAAACATTAAAGAACGTGATGTTTTATCTAACAACATTTGTAGTTAAGAATGGCCACAACCACTACGCAATCAGAGTGTTTAAATTTAAACAATAGATGGTCTATTTAGTATCATATAAAATAAGAATTTTAACCAGTTATAAACTCTCATCAATAAACCATGACATGCATATCTTTATTATAATGATGAATTAGAGAGCTAATTACAAATATTAATATTTCAAATGTGAATATAATTAGAATACAAAAGCATTTAAATAACTAAAATCCTATGAAACTTATTTTCACCCCAATATAAAGTTACCCAGCCTTTATTTTTGAGTGACAGTTATCATATTTAAAAACTATAGTTATTTTACAAATGTGGTTTTAGAATTATTAAAGCCAACTCCAAATAAATCAAAGTTGCAATCATCACATTAATGGTGTATACCTTTAAGACACACTTTTATAACATTCAAATCTTTTAATGATGAAAAAGTTTGATTATATTCATTTTGCAGCTTCCCATATTAAATATTGCAAATCTTATGAATTCAACTGGTAAGTTCCTGTAGTAATTCTTCAGTACTTCGTTGTTGTTTTCGAAATTCCTCCATGTATTGTTTAGGAACTGTCCAATCTAGTAAAATTTGTACATTACGTTTCAAACGTTCAGCCTGGCTGATATTTGATTCAATGCAAGGCTCTCGACCTGAAGACTTTATAGAAGCTATAAGGACATCATCAATTAAATTTTTATTGAAACCTAGTTTTTGCAATTTGTCTGGTGATGATATCCTTTGTAGTAAAATAGATAAAAGCAAGCGCATTTTTTCTAAGGCCATAGGGGTTCTACAGGCTTGTGGCGCTCACGCAGTGCACGATCTATAGCCTCAGCAGGGTCTAAATCTTCATCTATTGATTCTTCTTTTTTACATTCTGAAGCATGTTCATTCAAATCAATTTTGGTACGAAAAAATCCTTCACAGTTATCACAAACATATGGTTTATTAGTCTTGTGAATACAAAGCATGTGCTTTTTCAAATGGGGCAATTGTGAAAATGCTACAGTATTCTCTTTACACAATTTGCACCTGTAAGGTTTTTCACCAGTGTGTCTGCGAATATGCAAACGCAAAGCTGTTGAATGTGCAAATGCTTTCCAACAAACCTGACATCGATAGGGCTTCTCTCCAGAGTGAGTTCTTTGATGAACTATGAGATGAGATCTTTGAGCAAATGTAGCTCCACAAGCAGAACAGCCATGTGGTTTCTCTTGAAAATGTGTACGTAAATGCTGTGGAAGATGCCCTTTGAATTCTTTATTACAAATATCACAATGAAATGTCTTAACATTTTCATGAAAACAAGTCAAATGCTTTCTCAGTGCATCTGGCCTTATAAAGCTTTTCCCGCACTGATGGCAAGTATAATCTCGAACTTCTAAATGTCTGTTAACATGGAGCTTTAAATTACCCGAAGTAGTAAATGTAGCAGCACAATGTTTACATTTATAAGGCCTCAGACCTGAGTGAGTATAAGAATGCTGTTTGAGTTGACCACCACGAGCAAAACGCATAGGGCAATTAGGACACTGATAAGGTTTGTGACCAGTATGGACTCGGAGATGTAAACGAAGTCTTTCTTTTAAAGGAAAAATCTTTTTACAATATTCACAAATAAATAGTTCAGTTTTCTCGTCCAAACTACTAGAATGATGGCAAGTTATATGATTTCTTAAAGCTACTGCCTGTCTAAACCTGCGACCACAATCATTGCAAGCAAAGGGTCGTTCACCTGAATGAGTTCTACTATGTTTGCGCAAATCATTTTTTCCTAAAAATCGTTTACCACAATCACCACACTCATATGGTCGAGACTTTTCTTTGGCTTTAGTCATTGTTAAACTTATTCAAATAGTAAATGCAAAAATTTTAGGCAAGAGTTATTCAATGTATAAATTTGGCATAAAAGACTAGAATGTTGATCATATATTTAAGCTGTTCTAACATATTAGATCATGCGAATGCAAAGTGATCTCTACAAGAAATAAAATCCCACCACCATATAATTTATGTTGACTTAACTACATTTTGTATTAGAACCATTCACCATCAGCTTACAAATTGAATTTAAAGTGAGCTGCAATAAAAATAATCATTTATTGCTCTTTTATAATTAATACTAATTAAATGTATTGTGCAATTTTTTATAATTAAAACACTTACCATTTTCACAAAATTGATTGACTTACAATAACATGCTTGATACAAACTTTCCACTCCATTTATTTATTCATTTTAACAAATTATATCTATCAATTTGTCATATTTTATCAAATAATGTTTTAAACTAAGAAGTCCCATATCCTATCCCTTATTTGACAGATTAAAAACTTTGCACATAATATCGATTTCTGCATACAGGAATCGAGCCAAATCGAGCCAATCGAGCTCGATAAAAGAAGTTTTTTTGTTGTTCATAAACTTATCGATATCGTAATCATATCGTAACTATCGATCCATAGATAAGGCAATGGATTTTAGGATTTTACATCGGCACACTAGCGCTGCGTGTGTGACACACGAAATACTTAACCGGTCGCTGTTTTGTTCGAAGTCAGTTCGAAGTAAATACGCCCTTTGAAAGCTTTTGGCTTTTGGTTTTGATTTAACTCGACTTTAAAAACGTTTTGCGTTGAAACAAAAGAATTCATAGATTTACTAAATCGTTCATTGGATTATTTTTTATTGTGGAGAACAATACATACGTTTCAACACATTAGTATGACAAAAAATATTTTCAATGAAAGTGATAATTCAAGGTAAAATCTTTATAAAAATATAAAATGGCGTCAGATAACACTAGTCGTAACTTGAATGATTTACGTGTATCAGATCTTCGTGAAGAATTAGAGAAACGTGGTTTAGATAAAACTGGAGTGAAATCGGTGCTTGTTAAGAGATTGCAGCAAGTACGTATTGAAAATGATTTATAAATGTGTTCTTTATTGAATTAGTTAATTACTCATTACAAATAGAAAATCATTAACATCCGTATTGACATCGTAGTTATAGTTACCGTAATTGATTTCATGTTAGCCTTTTCGGGTTGCTTTTCTTTATGTACTATATTGGTTTTAAAGTTTTCAGTCACTTTTTACTTTATATTTGAAAAGCTATTTTAAATTTATTTGGAATATGCTGACATTCTAATGGAATATATTTTATAGGCCTTGTCTGACGAAAGTGCGAATTCTGAATATAAAGTAACATCTGATAGTGTACAGATTGAAAACGCAGCAATGGACAAATCTGAAAATTTGAATACCGATGATGGTGTAGAAGAAAATGAACATGCAGAAATTAATCCAGATGAAGTTGATCCAAATGATATGGTAGTAAAGGATGAATTAGATGCTTCTATTGACGAAAATGACGCCAATGAGAACACTGAAAAAGAAGAAAATATGGAGCAGGTAGATGTTAAGGAAGAGGAAGAGGAAGAAGATGAAGAAAAATTTGAAAAAATGGCTGACAATCACTATGAACTAAAAAAATTAGAAGTAAAGGTGTGGTTTTATTTATGCTTCAGCTAATTGAGTAATTAGAACTTCACTATAATTAGATTTCAATTACTTTCTCACCTATATATATATTAGGGTGGTCCTTAAAATGGTCATTTTTGAATTTCCTTGCTCCCAGGGGCTCAAATGGTTCCAAATAGATGAAAAACAATTCTCTGAAAGTTTAGCTCTTAATATTAACGTTTAGATAGAGCGCAATTCAATCAAAGTTTGTATGAAAAGAGCATAGAAAACATTTTGAAAGATTAAAAAAAAAGTTTTAGGTATAACTTAGCAACAAATGAATGAGTTTTATTTATTCATAAAAGTGAGTTTGCTAAATTACATCTAAAAAACACTTTTGAAATTTTTGAAAATTTTTCCGTGCTATTTCCATACAAACTTTGATTGAATTGCGCTCTATCTAAACGTTAATATTAAGAGCTAAAACTTTCAGAGAATTGTTTTTTATCTATTGGAACCATTTGAGCCCCTGGGAGCAAGGAAATTCGAAAATGACCTTTCTAAGGACCACCTAATATATATATATATATATATATATATATAATATATATATATATATATATATATATATATATATATATATACACTCACAAATTCCGAGATTGGCATCCGAGTTGAAAGGGTTTAGGGGCCGTTCAAGTATTACGTAAGCACTATAGGGGGGGGGGGGTTATTGATTTGCTTATTTTGCCTATTTTTGGTAAGAAATTTGCTTACTTTTGATGACAAAGGGGGGGGGGGTAAATGAATTGTTTAGTTACTAATTGACTTACTTATGTCATAAATCTTGTAGTCTGCTAGTATACTTGAACGATCTATCCAAATTGATTCAGGAAAAAATAGTGTGAAAAGTTTTTCTTTACCAATACACACCTGAGTGCCAAGTGGGCTATTTTTAATTCTAAGCATTGATTCAAATTTTCAAGTAAAAATGGACATTGCTGCTGCACGATTGGCAGGTTGTCTACTGCAGGCTTCAAAACTCAATCCCTTCTGCATGTGTCCATGCATTTTACCATAAACCATGGAACACCATAGATTAAAATGGAATACAACTTTATTAAAATTTAATAGTTCCAATTTAAGTCATTTATAATCACCATCTATAAATATATATATGGCACACATCAAGTCTCAAAACGTATAAAAATAAAATATTTTTCTTAACTTATTTTTCATTTTGTTGAATGGTTGTTTAAAAACACTTCAAATTTTTTTAACATAAAAAACTATCAAGATATTTGATCTTCTATATATCATCTATATATATATATCTATATATATAATATATATATATATACAAAAAAAACAAATTGTTTTTTATTATTGGGTTTACTATTGGGGAAAAGAAACAATGAATATATATATATATATATATATATATATATATATATTATATATATATATATATGATGTTTGACTCAACACATTATGTATATCTTGTGATTGCAGCTAAATTAATAAAATATCATTTTCTAGGTTGAAGATTGTGCATCTAAGATACGCCCTGGCCCTGCTTGCTCAAAATTGAATCATCCAACATTGGTTACTAAGGCTAAATCTGCAAGTAACACAGCAGAAAATAAACCTGATATCAACCAAGGTGATCAAGACGATTCAATAAATTTAACCATTGGGGAAGATGAAGAAAAATTATTACAGGAAGCTGTAAGTTTTTTTTTTAATCTTGATATTACTTGATTTTTTTAATATTGATAATTGCTCATGTGCTCATGATTCATTAAGGAGGGTTTTCTCTAGTGTAGAGGCATCAATTTAGGTCATTTAAATTCATTATAAAAAAGGGTAGCAATTTTTCACTATATTTTTTTATAATTATTAACATTACAAGAGTACAGGAAAAGGTACACATATTCTTAAATACTTAATTTTTTGAAACAAGTAAAAACTTCTGAATTCCACACTAAAAAACTCCTTTAATAAGTTAAATATTTAATTTTCTCTCATATGCCATTATTTCAGTAATATGTTAATTTTACATAATAGTAATGAATTTACTTTGCCCATTAATATACCTGTTTCACATAATATTAATGAATTTTACTTTTGCAGGAAGATTCTCATCCTCGTAGCAAGGCATCAGGTATGTTTTATTTATTCATAGTTTAATTATGTAAATATGTGATAAGATTGCACATGCTTAGGTTATAATTTAGTCTGTTGCATACAAATTCAATTAAAGAATCAATAGTTAAATTATATGAATGGAGAACGGCAGATACTCAAATATCTTCAATTGGATAGCAAGTGTAAAATTATGTTGATTTATGTGTAGAATATCGACACTACCAATATAGATATATAATACCGATGTATTATGATGTTGATATTATTGTCACACTCCTGATGTGGGAATATTGACATATTTAGGAAACTGTAAATTTTGTTCTGAATTGGATTTTACCTAAGACATATATTTTGAAAATGGAGGAACCAAAAATGAAAGTTTTTATGAACAAATTTTATCTAATTATTTATTCGTTTTTATAAATCTGTCAAATTATCATGAACAACAAGAACATTATCTGTGTCTTTATAAAGTGAATAATTCAATGGAAATTTGAATGGAAATATTACATTAGATTAAAAGGAAATATAAACTGATTAATATTTGTGAGTGTACTTCAAGTATGAGTATGAAACCATAATAAACTTAAATAATCAGCAAAATATTGGTGAAATAAAATTGTCAATGAAGATGCATCAAACAAGAAAATTGAATAAGTTAATAGTGATTAGTACATATATAAAAATATGTGACATCCAGATACTTTCAAGATTTTTAATTAAGAATTTTTTATATTCGAATAAGGATATCTCTATAAATGTTTCACACAATTTT